GGAGTAGGTAAAACAGTACTGATCATGGAATTAATCAATAACATTGCTAAAGCTCATGGGGGCGTATCCGTATTTGGTGGAGTAGGGGAACAGACTCGTGAAGGAAATGATCTTTATATGGAAATGAAGGAATCCGGAGTAATTAATGAAAACAATATTGAGGAATCAAAGGTAGCTCTAGTCTATGGCCAAATGAATGAACCACCGGGAGCTCGTATGAGAGTTGTTTAACTGCCCTAACTATGGCGGAATATTTCTGAGATGTTAATAAGCAAGACGTGCTTTTATTTATCAATAATATCTTTCGTTTTGTTCAAGCAGGATCAGAGGTATCCGCTTTATTAGGGAGAATGCCCTCCGCAGTGGGTTATCAACCTACTCTTAGTACAGAAATGGGTTCTTTGCAAGAAATAATTGCTTCTACTAAAAAGGGATCTATAACTTCGATTCAAGCAGTTTATGTACCTGCAGACGATTTGACCGACCCTGCCCCTGCCACAACATTTGCACATTTGGATGCTACTACCGTACTTTCCATAGGATTAGCTTCCAAGGGTATTTATCCAGCAGTAGATCCTTTAGATTCAACCTCGACTATGTTACAGCCTCGGATCGTTGGCAACGAACATTATGAAAATGCGCAAAGAGTTAAGGAAACTTTACAACGTTACAAAGAACTTCAGGACATTATTGCAATTCTTGGCTTGGATGAATTATCGGAAGAGGATTGTTTAACTGTAGCAAGAGCAAGAAAAATTGAGCGTTTCTTATCACAACCGTTCTTTGTGGCAGAAGTTTTTACTGGTTATCCAGGAAAGTATGTTGCTCTTGCGGAAACTATTAGGGGATTTCAACTAATCCTTTCCGGAGAATTAGATGGCCTACCTGAACAGGCTTTTTATTTGGTGGGTAACATCGATGAAGCTAGCACGAAAGCTATAACCTTAGAAGAGGAAAACAAATCACAGAAATGAAATTAAATCTTTATGTACTGACTCCTAAGCGAATTATTTGGGATTGTGAGGTGAAAGAAATCATTTTATCCACTAATAGTAGCCAAATTGGCGTATTACCAAACCACGCCCCCATTAACACAGCAGTAGATATGGGTCCTTTGAGAATACGCCTCCTCAACGACCAATGGTTAACAGCGGTTCTGTGGAGCGGTTTTGCGAGAATAGTTAATAATGAGATCATCATTTTAGGAAATGATGCGGAACTGGGTAGTGATATTGATCCGGAAGAAGCTCAAAAGGCACTTGAAATAGCCGAAGCTAACTTGAGTAAAGCTGAGGGTACGAAAGATTTGGTTGAAGCGAAGCTCGCTCTCAGACGAGCTAGGATACGAATCGAGGCTGTCAATTGGATTCCCCCATCCAATTAAAGACAATCCAGTGGTTTATAGTTGATACAAAGAAAAAGGGAAGAGGGGTAGAAAAAGTTATTAGATAGCAAAGCGAAGTAAGTCCAATACTATCTAGTAATTTTTCTACCTACTTACCTACTATTGGATTTGAACCAATGACTCCCGCCGTATGAAAGCAATACTCTAACCACTGAGTTAAGTAGGCCATTTATCACCACAAAGGAAGACCCATTACTTCGATCGATTATCTCGATCGAAGTACGAAGGTCAGAATAAATAGAATAATGATCAATGGAAAAAAGAAAAAATCCTTTAGCTGGATAAGGGGCGGATGTAGCCAAGTGGATCAAGGCAGTGGATTGTGAATCCACCATGCGCGGGTTCAATTCCCGTCGTTCGCCCATCGCATTATTGCAAATTCCAAAAATGCAATTTTCCATATTCCTAGTTACGTATTTACTTACGGCGACGAAGAATAAAACTATCGCTATATTTTTTCCTTTTCCTAGTTCTTCTTCCAAGCGCAGGATAACCCCAAGGGTTTGTGGTTTTTTTCTACCAATGGGAGCTTTCCCTTCACCGCCCCCATGGGGGTGGTCCACAGGGTTCATAACTACCCCTCTTACTACGGGGCGTTTACCTAGCCAACACTTAGATCCGGCTCTACCCAAACTTTTTTGGTTCACCCCAACATTACCCACTTGTCCGACTGTTGCTAAGCAGTTTTGGGATACTAAACGGACCTCCCCAGATGGTAATCTTAAAGTGGCCGATTTACCCTCTTTTGCAATGAGTTTCGCTACAACACCTGCTACTCTAGCTAATTGCCCACCCCTTCCACATGTGATTTCTATGTTATGCATGGTCGTGCCTAAGGGCATATCGGTTGAAGTAGATTCTTCTTTTCTCTCAAAAAACCCCTTCCCAAACTGTACAAGCTTCTTCCAAAGCATACGGCTTTCTAGATGTATATGACGATCTCTAGACAGATGGATCTTATATGAATCATATGATGAAGTACCACATGAGTGGATATATAGGAAAGGAATCCAAATCTGCCGAATCGCTCATGTTATGATCTTCTACATCCTATGTCCCTGCGTTCCGTCATCTGGCTTATGTTATTCATGTAGCATTCAGATCGAATGACTCTATGAAATTACGTCGATACTTCCACATATTATGGGTAACATAGGAGACATCCCTATTTTCCCCCGGGGGTCTTAATTACCACTTCTTAGCTTTCAATTTGCCTCTGACCATCAAATTAAATGTGAATAACCCGTCCTCCTCTCTTTGAAACAAGGGGCGCTTCCGGTTCTTTGAGTGCTTCAAACAATTTTGTATTCTCCATATTACCATATCTCTAGAGCCAATAATTTTCTATGAGGAACTACTAAACTCAATCACTTGCTGCCGTTACTCAACAGTTTTCTGTTGAAGTCTATCCCGTAGAGGTAGTCAAATTGGATCAGTGATCGATTTATAGGTTTCGTCGTAAACCTAATTGGTTACTTCCAATTACGTAAATCAATAGTTCAAACCGCACTCAAAGGTAGGGCATTTCCCATTGATATAGGAACTTTTGTACCAGAAATAATAGTATCTCCAATTATAGCCCCTCTGGGATGTAAAATATATCTCTTCTCACCATCCCCATAGTGAATGAGACAAATGTATGCATTTCGATTAGGGTCGTATGCTATGGTTACGATTCTACCAGATATGTATTTTTGATTCCGTCGAAAATCTATTTTACGGTATAGGCGCTTATGACCTCCACCCCTATGCCTTGCGGTAATGATTCCTATGGAATTACGACCTTTACCACAATGGTGCCGTCCATGGATCAAATTATTTCGTGGATTGGATTTCACTTGCCTGTCTACGGTTCCCTTGCATGTGCTCGGGATAGGTGTTTTGTATAAGTGTTTCGCCGTATTATTAAGTATTCTCCTTTAGTTTTTTTCTCTATCTAGAAGTGGAATAGAATAACCCGGTTGAAGGGTAATGATCATACATCTGTAATGCATTGTATGGCCCAGAATAGGTCCTATTCTTCTACCTTTTCCAGGTAGTTGATGGCTATTCACAGCTACCACCTTAACACCAAAGAAGAGTTCGACCCAATGCTTTATTTCTGTCTTAGTGAATCCCGATTCGACATTAAAAGTATATTGATTCTTTCCCAATAAACGAAGACTTTTTTCTGTAAATACTGCGTATTTGATTCCATCCATAAATCGACTTTCCCTCCTAAGTCCTGGTATTTACTACCGCTCGGAATTAGATCATAAGGGAATTTCTATCTACACTGGGACTATAATATCAGATTGGGGAGGGAGATCGGAATTAGCAATTGATAAAAAAGAAAAGGATATGGGCTCGCGTGAGTAGAAAACAAAAGATATCTATTCTAGTTCTATCATCAGCTATGGGTTCGAATCTAAGAGAAATTCTAGATAATGTTTCCTACCCTGAAATTTTCTTGTCTTTCCCGAATGCTAAGGAGAAGAAGAGGATTGAGTCAAAAGAAAAAGCTATTTTGGAGTTTTATCAACAATTTGCTTGTGTAGGTGGGGACCTGGTATTTTCGGAGTCCTTATGCGAGGAATTACAAAAGAAATTTTTTCAACAAAAATGTGAATTAGGAAGGATTGGTCGATGAAATATGAATCGGAGACTTAATCTTGATATACCTCAGAACAATACATTCTTGTTACCACAAGATGTATTGGCCGCTACGGATCATTTGATTGGAATGAAATTTGGAACGGGTATACTTGACGATGACGATATGAATCACTTGAAAAATAAACGTATTCGTTCGGTTGCGGATCTGTTACAAGATCAATTCGGATTGGCTCTTGGTCGTTTACAACATGAAGCGTGCGTGCCTGTCCCTAACGAACAGTCGGCAGGAATTTAGCTTTACCCTTCTCTATTATAGTGAGACGTAGGGAAGCCTCAAGTCAAGCCAGACGCTACATCCCTTTTTCTTCTCTAATTGTTTTAAGTGTTTTTTTTCATGCGAGCCCCAAACAAGCGGGAGGGCACAACCTCGTCTGTCTTCACGCTGTTGTTTTCATTTTTTATTTCATTTATGCATCCAAATAATCTAAATAAATATATTAGAAGAACATTTTACAACAAACATTTGAAAAATTGTTAACCAAGCATTAGAAAAATGTGAAATGTGTAATTTTTTTTCTCTTGTATACAAAATATGTGTAATGTGTATGAAAAAAGTTGGACATGTTCTTATAAAGTTTAATCCGAGCAATTAAAAAAATTAAGCAAGTATTTCAAAAATGTTGATCAAACATTTGAAAAATGGTAAGTGTGTGTAGAAATTATGTTGACCATGTATTAAAAAATATTAAACTTGTATTTTAAAATATTAATCTAAGCATTTGAGGAAAAATCTGAAACAAGTATTTCAACAATGTTAATCAAGCATTTGAAAAATATTAAACATGTATAGAAAAAAATGTTGAACATGTATTGATAAAAATGTTAAAATTGTATTCCAAAAAATGTTAATCAAGCATTTGAAATATGTTAAATGTGTATTGCAATAGTGGTGATGTTATATTAAAATAATTCAATCTTGTATTTAGAAAATGTTAATCAAGCATTTGAAAATATTAAATGTGTACAGAAAAGTATTGACTATGTATTAGAAAAATGTTAATATTGTATTTAAAAAATATTAAATATGTATTAGAAAAATGCAGATATATACAAAAATTGTGTATGGAAAAACAGTGAAACCCTAGAAAAACACAAAAAATGATAAAAAATGAGAAAGAACCAAACAAAACTGAAGAAGTAAAGAAAAAAGACCGATGAAATTTAGAAACAAACAAAGAAAAACAAAGGAAAAAATAAGTGAAAATAAAGAAACCGAGTAAAGGCAGAGAAATCGAGTGAAAATACATTGAAAAAACCCACAAAATCAGTGGAATAATCGGCACTTTTCCCTTTAATTGGACGTGCCCTACTGTTTTATCATAACTTCTATAGTGAGCTAGTGGTTTGTGGCATGACCCTTCATCCTGGAGACCCGTGTTCATTTATTTATAGGGCTGTACCAATGCGCAAGATCAACAAACGAACATGGTGTGTGGTCAGACGTCTTTCCTTCGCCAAACTTCACATGACAATTGTTGTAGCCATTTGTTTCTTCCCCTAATGACCTTTATTCTCCGATAGAAGGTGATGCAATTGTTGAAGAACTGTTGACGCTTTGTGGTGCCCATCCACAATTAAAGTAGCCCAAAACTGAATGCTGCAACAAACAAGGACGAATCGTCCATTGCGAAGTGGAACAACAACAAACATAGCTATATTTTACACGTGCACCAGTGTTCAAAGTTTTGAGCCTGCTGAATTAATGCTGCGTGATGGCAGTGCGTTTCTTGCTATAAATGTAACCACAAATGACATTTTCTTGCTACCTCTTGAGCTTGCGTTGGTTTTCCCTTAAAGAGGAAAGAGTGATGCAACAAAGTAGCATAATTATTAACCTCAGTTTTGAGAACCAAGGTATCAATCCAGTAGGAGACGAAGCACAAGTCACCGAATACCTGCGCAAACAATCAACAACTTGCAACCAACACGATAAAGAGGTTGTCAATCCCTTCACGGCCACTCTCAAAAGTGAGATCTGATTGAGATAGATAAACGGTAAAGTAAATATTTTTGGTATTTTTGGTTTATAGATTGAAAAGTAAAGATTGCAAAATAATAGATCGAAAACTAGCAAGATGTAAACGAGATTCAATATAATGAAAAAGAGACCCAGGGGCCATAGTTTTCACCAGTGGCTTCTCTCAAGATAGCATATATTACGGTGGGTGAACAAATTACTACCGAGCAATTGATAGAAAATCGCATAATTATGATGACATCTAAGGCAATGATCATGAACATAGGCATCACGTCCATGTCAAGTAGACCGACTCCTGCCTGCATCTACTACTATTACTCCACACATCGACCACTATCCAGCATGCATCTAGAGTATTAAGTTCATAAAGAATGGAGTAACACATTAAGCAAGATGACATTATGTAGAGGAATTAACTCAATCAATATGATGAAAACCCCATCTTGTTATCCTCGATGGCAACAATACAATACGTGCCTTGCTGCCCCTACTGTCACTGGCAAAGGACATTGCAAGATTGAACACAAAGCTAAGCACTTCTCCCATTGCAAGAAAGATCAATCTAGTAGGCCAAACTAAATAGATAATTCGAAGAGACTTGCAAAGATATCAAATCATGCATATAAGAATTCAGAGAAGAACCAAATAATATTCATAGATAATCTTGATCATAAATCCACAATTCATAGGATCTCGGAAAATACACCGCAAAAGAGTATTACATCGAATAGATCTCCAAGAACATCGAGGAGAACATGGTATTGAGAATGAAAGAGAGAGAAGAAGCCATCTAGCTAATAACTATGGACCCGAAGGTCTGTGATAAACTACTCACGCTTCATCAGAGAGGTAATGGCGTTGATATAGAAGCTTTCCGTGATCGAATCCCCCTCCAGCAGGACGCCGGAAAAGGCCCCAAGATGGGATCTCTCGGGTACAGAAGGTTGCGGCGGTGGAAAAGTGGTTTCGTGGCTCCCCCTGATGTTTTTAGGGTATAAGAGTATATATAGGCAAAGGAACTAGGTCAGGGGAGCCACGAGGGGCCCACGAGGGTGGGGGGTGCGCCTACGCCCCTGGGCGTGCCCTCCTGCCTCGTGGCTTCCTCGTCGCGTCTCCGACTTCATCTCCAAGTTTTTTGGTTTGATTTCGGTCCAAGAAAGATCATCGCAAAGGTTTCAATCCGTTTGGAATCTGTTTGGTATTCCTTTTCCGCAAAACTCTAAAATAGGCAAAAAAAAACAAAAATTGGCACTGGCCCCTCGGTTAATAGGTTAGTCCCAAAAATAATATGAAATAGCATATT